CTCGATAACTGAATCAATACACACTAATTGCCTTAAGAAGTAAGCAGTAATTGGAATTGGGCAGAATCTGTTTAAATTAACTTCTATATTTGTCTTATGCATTGGCCTCATTATTACAATAATGTGCTCTGTAAGTAGGATCCTCAAAATCTTTTGTAATGAAAAAAAAAAAAAAGGTTCAGTTTAACCTATTGCTGGCAATACAATAAGCAATGCACCAAAACCAAATCTTAGACTGAGGATACATGTCCATTTATAAAATCTAAAAAGTAAAAGATGCAATATATAACCATCTATGCCCATCAGCATGCAATTACTTTACCAAAACATTTACCAACTGACGTTTTAGAGAGGAACTTGAATCTCAGAAGGATATTTGATTTCCACATTAAGAGGTTTTCAAAGGCCAACCGTTACACCTATCTATCACTACTTATATTTATTACAGTGTGTTTCTTCCCAGCAGGAAGACAAGTCTTCATATTGTATGGATGGAAATGTAACTGTAGGCTATAAGGAAATAAGACTAGAGTAAGACTAGAACGCACAGCTGCTTGTGGTTGTTTCAATAACTTACAAGACAGTCTATGGGATGTACACAAGTCTGATAGAAGGCTGTACATATCTTGACATATATATGCCTATGCACACAGAAACATGCAGATTTTCTTTCCCTCTGATATTCTCACAAAAACACACTCTAGTGAGCAGGCAGGCATACACACACACACACACACACACACACACACACACACACATTCTCCCTTTAGAAAGTCTAAACAATTTATATTTTTTGCAGCAATATGCAGCACCCTGTAGCCAGACAATCACCACACCTAATGTCTATAATATCATGCACTTCAATTATTTGGTCCTTTTCATACCATATCATTACCACATAAAAGTGCCATTTTTTACCAAGCTTATATGAATATATCACATCTGTGTTCGGTATCTTCACTATATGTTGACACATAAACATAAATCAACCATGGACCTTAGGGAAACTGTTAACTTAGTTTTTCTGTTTATTTCCCTCCTCATGCCAATAAAGAAAAAACATTGGAGGCAGCCAGAAGTTAGTGCATTGACCATTTTTTTACTGCCACACAGTAGGCGTACTCCATTAATATCTTAAGAAACACATGAGCTGTTATTTTTTCTATGTAATGATTAATCATTCATAATACAGTGCAGCATGTATGTGCCTATAATATAGACCTTGCAATTATGAAAAAAACATGACATAGGTGATATGGATATTGTGAAGCATTGTTAAGAACAAGCCGCCTTTGCAGGATATTCATACATAAAAAATGACTTTGGCACATTTTTAATTGCGTATGGCACATCTTTAATAAAAAATATAACAAAATCAAACCAAAAACTTATCCCATCATTTTATACATCTTTCTTTCAAATCACAATCTATTGGCAACATATCCAGTTTCAAATGACATTTAAGAAATCCCCTCTTATGTCCCTGGGCGAGCACACAATAGTAATAGCTGGGCTATTTCTTTCCATTATTTTACAGTTGACCTTTGCAGCACTGGCTGCCCCCAGCCCCATGCTGGGAGGGAAATTAGAACTCATACAATATCCTGGCAAGGCTGACAGGTACAAACTTTGGTGTCACTAAATTGGTTATTGGGTACAGGGGGAAAGAGAGTGTGCAAGTGGGGTAACAGTTCAGTTATGAGACACCTGCAGGAGTGGGGGCTAGTTAACTGGTTAAAATGATCAAGGGTTCATTGGTCCTGGTTAAGTAGCGTCTGTCATCCAGACACCACCTAGGGTCGGCCTTTAAATTTATTTACAAGATAATTCAGTTTTTAATGTCAGAGCTTAGGTGTCTAAAAATCCTCAACTTGGCAAACACTGCAGTCCCATCCTCAGTAAGAAACTGATGAAGCCATTATCACAGTTAGCAAATCAATACAGAACACAAATATATGTAGAAAAAAATATATACCGGTATATGGCAATTTCTAAGTAGCTATGGTTTCTGATTGCCACAATGAGAGCTTAAAATGTAAATACTTTCAAATGAACAAGTGTCCTTGACAAATCAATTTGATTCTTAAAACCCTGAGGCCACTGGGTATTCATTGAAATAGATAGTGTTTAATATCAGAAGCAAAATACCGAAAACTTTCACCAATTACAGAGCAATTCTCCAAAATTATGCATTAAATTGCGTATCTTTTTATTTATTTTTTTTTTTTTGCCCATTTTTTATCAGTTGGTTATTACTGAAGCAAGTGAAATGCCTGTTGAGCAGAATTATCATCCTACCAGATACTGGAATGAATACCACTCTTTCCTAAGAATGAAAAGGAGTTGGAAACAAACAAGCCACCAACCTAGCCAAGATCTGAACCTTACACAACTCAATGATAACTAAGCTAATGTTTGAGTGAGCCAAAAACAAAAAAGAGGGAGAACATTATAGCTCTTTAATCATTATCCTAAATGCAAATGCACCTTTTATCCTCATGTTTTAACACATAGAATCGATAGGAGCGGCAGATACTGGCAACAATAATCATACAGATGGTTGCTAGTCAGATAAATGGTTATGGAACAAAAATATCAGACCCTTGGAAACATTCTGCCTAAGGATCTAGTTTAACCTTACAGTTACTGTATTTGTGGGGTATCATAATTCCAGAAAAATAACTTAATCGTCTTAAGATTAAGAAAGTCATTATTTCATCTAATGTTTGTTAATGCTGCTTATCGCATTTTTGGATTTTTTTATGCACAAGTTAATATTAAAGGTGATGCTTGAAATATCATGGCCCCTGTTCTGGGTTGTAAAACTGTACGTCATCAAAATCCCCTGGAGTATACATACATCCTGGCAAACAAGAGAGTGTGCTCTCTGAAAGATGACTTCTAATCATTATAGGCATTTCTCTCGGTCTTTACCGCCTACAGAAATTTGCCCAAGTGACTGCCTGCCAACAAATTTGTAAAAACTGCCCTACAAAACTACACAGAATGAAGAGATGATTTTACCTTCAATAATAATAATAATAATAATAATAATAATAATATGCCATGCAAAACATTTTACAGAGCAAACTCTGACCAAAATCTAATCTTCTTCACTATTTAAAACACCACACATTTCCAAGAGATTCCACAATGCTGTACAAGGTTTACAGGAGTGAAGAATTATTTGAGTTTAAGCAAATTGTTGTTTCATCAAAAAGCAAAACTTGAAAATACAGTACAGGTACCCATCTTAGGAGCAAATGAGAACTGGTGTGCTTGTTAGAGTGTATTAAAAAGACCATCATACCCAGTGGTCTGACCACTAGGGGCCACTGTCCCTGGGGACAAGACAACCCTGGTCATCAATCCACAACAGATTAATTTGATTAAATTGTTAATTTCTGATCTGGTCTCATTCTAGTAATGTGCACAGACCAGGCTTCAGAAGAGAAAAATAATTTCTGGGATATTTACAGTTACATACCAACATCAACTAACTAGGTTTATATCCCAACTGGTTAGTTAATTATAACTAATGATGGTTCTATCAACTTTTTTCAGTCACTTTCACTTGCTGGCATTTGAAGAATCTTAAATGAATCTTGAATCTTGAAAACTGCCCATGGTGTGACCTGCTGGCTTCAGGGAAATTTCCTTTATTTCATCACCAAATATCAACTGTGAAAAAATCTGTAACAGGTACTAAACCACGCTAGTTATAGGGATAAGTAGTTAACTATAAATTATAAAAAATGAAAATGAAAATGGACTGGGTAGAGCTTCACAATATCAGAATGATATTTAAATACATAACTGCTGAATAACTAATTATAGTTCTAATTAAAGAAAAACTCTTTAAGAAAGATGTTTTCTAAAAGATATCTTCTAAAAGATATCAGTAAAAAATTGATCACATGCTTTAGATTTCCTTATTTTCAACTTACCCTATTTGTAAAAATAAAAGATGGAAATATTGCTAATTCTCTAGGATTTCAATTAGGCATTTTCTGATATACAGGTGCTTTTTCACATGACTTAACGAAATCTTTACAGAGTCTGTTAATTATCAACCTTCACAACTTTGCACCATTATGAGAAAATCAGTAAGTAGACAGAATTCTATGAGATATAATATTTACTTAATATAAAGTGCTCAGATGTAAAAGGGGACTTATCTTATTCAAACAATGTATTATGAATACTGGCAGTATTCTGATGTTCAATACTTCCAGCTCTATCTCTATCATTGTACATGAACAAATTTTTCTGTTGGCTTTATGAAAAAAATTGATTTCTACTTCCTGTCGACTGCTTTGAGTAAACACTAACCAACATTTTAAATCTGGAACCTCTTCCAGGAGGAGGGAGATCAACAATGAAGAATCTTGGTAATTGCACCTGGTAATTGCATGGACAATAAACTTAAGAATTTTACACTTAGGTAACTATAGTTCATATTCACCTAGCCTGAAATTCTATCCCAGTGAAAACTGGATAATACTGTGCACATCTGCCTGCATGTCAGGGATAAGAGACCAGAAAATACACTGGGGAATAAAGTAGTTCAGGTGTATGGGTGTATAAATGTAAATACCAACTCTAATCAGATGGTTAAAATGGATTTTTATTCATACCTTCAGGAAATGGTTTTACAGCATTTAAAATATGTGTGTTTGCCCATGTTCAACTGGTTCATTTGACTCAATGAAGTAAATGCATTATGCCCAAAGGGACCAAAATATATTTTGTTTTATATTTAATTTCTTACAAAACCATAATTAATCAGTGGCATAAAACATTCATCATTATATTTCACATTCTTTTATGAAACTACCACTGAAATAAGACGCTGCATTAATAATCCAATTCATTATGAAACGTATGTATCATAGATATAAGACACATTGGAAAATGGAAAAAATTATACATCTAACGTGTATAAAGATCGACATTATTTTGTGCTAAAAATATCAACGCTATGCAGTGCTTAATCTCACCTTGCACTGTGTAATATTGTGAACGGCCAACTCCACTCTTGCAAAGTTCCCCTTGCCAAGGGTCTTGTTTTCCATAGAATAACGGCCGATACATTGTATTTTCTTCCCCATCCTCAAACACCCATGATTTCAGCATCTGAAGCGTGGTGGACTCCCTTTGCAGTGAGTCAAGCGGATCTGCAACTGTTCGCAACAATGTTGTTTCTCAAATCACCCAGAGAAGCCTGCAAAGCGATATCAATATCCAGAGACCCTATATATTTTCCCTCTGACACGAAAATAGCTTGATTCCCCGGAATGCCGCTCAACAATCAACAGTCAGGCGTTTACGTAGCGTGACGTCGCTCTACAATGGGCATTCACTGAACAATGCACATTACAGGGAGCGAAGACGTTTAGGTCAGCTTCTAGCAGCCGGGGTAAAGGACGAAGGACTTCGTAGGCATTCAGTGTCCAACTGGACAGTGTTTCGACGTCCGGTTCCTTGCCGCAAAAAGTCCAAAATAAACCTTCGTGGCTGTTTTATCGTGTAAGGTTTGGTATACAGAACATTGGCAATCAATACCAATTAACATTTCTAGTACAGCATATGAATGTAACATCTTCAGTGATGCCGTCACCGGGCTTTCTGGTGTTTTCATCGATTACTAAGCTTCGTCGAATGGCCTGCTACATAAATATTTCAGAGGAATCGCCATGTTAGAGTTCAAGGATCGACTATTTTTAGTGTCGGCCATCCACATGGCTTACATTATAAGGTGGTACGAAACAACAGGCCACCCCCTAACCACGATTTGGTGTGAGAAATTGTCTGAAGAACGTCAATTCATTGACCCTAAAAGGAATACTGTGTCACTAATGCTATAATCTTATCACCTCTGCATTGATCGTCAAATCTTAGGAATTAATTGTTTTAAGTTATTCCGAGTAAATATAAAACATTGCATTATATTTGCTATCGGTATTTGTGAAAAGAAAAGATATATCTTTTAACAGACCGACAATGACAATTTATCAAGAGCAGGCATACATATGTGATAAGACTATCAGCAATGGGAAAATGTAAGCCGAGAAACAAAACGCACAAATTGATTAATTTTGCTCGTCGCAATGAACAATATTCTGTTTTGTTTCTACATCATTGTGTTACAGTCCACATAGTAGCCCTACATAACGGTCAGTGGCCTGAAAGTTGATACTGGGAGACAAAAATAAGTAGATCAATTGGCTAAAAAAGTTCGACGCTCTTCTTATTAAGGCTAACCAATACCACGTGCTTTGGTCGTAAAATAAACTGTGACGTCACGGACGCTTGGTTTGAACCTTTTAACAGCGTTTTTCTTTCAGCCTGGTATATTATAAACTTTATTCTTAATTTTGCGCGTGTCAGTTTACAGTAACAAGCTATTTTTAGGTATGTCGACACAAATAATCAAGACGTTATCAGGGGCGGATCCAGAGCTATTTTATGACAATCTTTCAAATTACCAGTATCTTTGTTGATCCATCCTCCATTTTCGACCGTCATCCGACAGAAAAAAATTAGATAACCGTCAATATAAACTTGAAAATCTGACCGTCTCCCGCCCTGCCTTTAAAAGCATTATGATAAAAGAAGTTACGCGCGGTGAAAAATCAGAATCCTTATCGGGAGAGACTACACATCTACCAAATTGGCTCTCTCTATCACTTCAGCAGTGTATTTCACTTATTAACTTATGTGCGAGCACAATACCATAACACTAGCTATACAGAATGTAACATAGGAGTGCTAGATCACTTAAAACCAGCCCGTCTACAGATGCACATGCTCACTTTTTACCATTCTGTGAGGATATCAACTTCACATTTCTAATATAGGCCTGTGTGATCAATTTTCTCATGTTGTGTTGAATAATTTCGGGAAGGGGTAGTCTGCTTTTATCATTGTTTTTACTAAAAAATTATTCGGAGGAGGCTGGCATTTGTGATAACGCGTTTAGCAAAACATCGTTTCAAATTGTTTACAAGAATTAAATAAAAGCACGTCAGCCCCTTGCTAAACAACTACAAAAAGTTTCAATGAGAAGCCACAAAACGCCATTAAATGTAACAATAGTCATTGAGCATTTGTAACTTAAACATAATTATGGCTGTGCACCTGCTGCAGAGTGCGTGTGCCAGACTTGTCCATCTTTTTTATACCGGTACAAATAGTTAACCAGAGTTAACCAGAGTAAATATCAATTGGTTTTATTTGCTAATTTAACTGTTTAGAGTGTGTTCTCCTTTATCAAATTGCCGGATTAAAGTTTACCAGCAAACTACGGAAACATTTCCATGTATCGGTTCATCATCTGAATTCCCTAAGTGATCCGTTTGTAATGATTTGTTCTACTATTTTCCTCGGAGGCCAAAGTCCAAGGAATATATATTTGTCATTATTTCCGAGCAACGGGATAGTGTATGTATCGCAATGCCGTCTAGCGGCGGAGAAGAGAATGTCGATTTCCTTGAAACCAGTTCTTTAACTAGGTGATAAACCAAACGGCATATGCACATTTGGCATCAAGCAAGAAAAAACGAGAGAAAGAGAGAGGGAGGGGAGGGGAAGGGAGGGGTATTCTAAGTCGAACGCCTAGAAAGAGAGAGAGAGAGAGAGAAAGAGAGAGAGAGAGAGAGAAAGAGAGAGAGAGATGCCGGAAAATTCAACATTCGGTGGGTAGCATTAAATTTTAAGTGTAACTTTTAGTTTGCTTTTACTATGATATGTTCAGAAAGCATAATGCCAGGTCCCACTGTTTATTGATAGCAAAAAGGTCTTATCAAAGGAGCATTCGCAGTCAAACGCCTATTTGCAAGTGTTATTCTAAGGAAATTTTACTCGATGAGCACCGCACTGATATCCTATTTATATCCCGCCTGTTTCCACTCGACTGGAAATTGGTTATTCTCGCGAGTCTATACAACGTGAGGTGAACGTAAGGTTGCACGTCTCTTTAAATACATTGAGTTTCTCCAGGTTATCTGAGGACAAACAGGGTACCATCACAAGGCACAGAAATAGTACGAGTGTGTCACCTCGATCGTCATTCTGAATTATTTAGGTGGTACAAATAAATAACGATTATAGTATGAGAATTGCAAGGTCGTGCCCCTGTAGCCTTATAACTTGACACGGTTGGGTGGATGGTACAGTCGAGTTAATCTAAGGTTGTGATTATCTAACTCCCATCGCTAGCGCAATAACACACCCAGGTAAAAAGAGGACGAATAAACAGACAATACGCGGTTTCATTTTAGGGTCATCACGAGGACAGGTGTGTGTGCGTGCGTGTCTGTGAGTGTGCTTGCGATCGTGCGTTTTTGTCTACATTAATGAGTATATACATTTTAATTTTAATGAGTATACGTGTTTCAAACTATGGCCGTTGTGGCGTTAATAATAACATGCCCAGCATATATCAATGTTTTATCTGAAAAGCGTGTAATAGTCCAAGGACAGAGAACAATTTAGTTGAGGTGAACGTGAGGTTACTGTCATTCTGCCAACCTAAGTTCGGTTCTTGATACGTAGGCAGGTTTGGATGGGTCTCTACATATCCCAGGGTCGCCATGTATAAAATGGATAAATATGGCAGGTTTAGTAACAGGACCATCTTTCTTTTGACTTCTGTTTGATATGTTGCTCGATTTATATACCTAGGGTGGATTCTTAAGGACAAGTGGAGGGTAGCTCACTTCCCCTTTCTTTCCAAGGGTCGGGATGAATACTCGGGTTTAAGATCTTAAAATGACAAACTTTTTCAGTTTATCATTTAAAATATTTACTCATTATTTAAATGTACACTTGCCTACGCGCGCGCGCGCGCGTGTGAGAGAGAGAGTGTGTGTTTGTGTGTGTGCATGAAAGGGGTATGGGCCAGGATATTTTGCGTCATGTACAATCTTCACTTAACCTAAATTTATCTTTCCGTGTATCTCCTGCGTCCCTAGATATGGTTGATATATGGACGGATTTCTAGATGCGCAAAACCCGTTCTTGCTCCAATACGTGAAGAGGTTTATCACTCATCTTTTCCCGTGCACATTTATTGCTCTCCACAACATGGTTATGGCATCTGTACAGGGGAAACTGGGAACAGTCAAGAACACCTGCATCTCACCTGTAACTTGTCACTTTTAGAAGATTTCTGACTCAGTTTGCTGATATACGTAACGTGTTTGTAGGCATGTGATTGAGTAGCGCCATTAATTCAGTACGGCGTCGACTTTATTGAACCTTCACGCGTAAAATACAACCTACTGATATTTCGGCCCAATAAAGGATTATTGGAAATAAAACCTATGCTGTCTACTTCAGAAATTGCGTCAGCTATGAATTTGTTCTTTCGTGAAATGCGCTAGATTTGCCAAGCAGTCCGTAAAATGTAGCCAAATTTAACAGAATCAGTTTCATCTTTTTAGGCGACATGATGCATTCGCGTCACGCAATCGCACTAGTGGCTCATCCAACCGTTTCCCAGACTGTCTCGGCTGACTTTATTTTCATGTCCGTAAGTAAAATTGAATCACTCCCGGAAAGATCAGGGTACCGCGGGCCCGTTTCCCTTTCACCGCACGAGTACTGTATCAATGAATTAGCAGAAGATAAGGCGCTTGATGTCACGCATGTTGTTTTTGTTGTATAAGCTATGTATTAGATTAATACTTGACTGATAGTATTGGCGAGACTGGAGTGCAGTAAAGTCGTCATAACGCTGGACAAGTATTACTGATTACGGTGACGACGGGCACGAGAAAGGTGTGAAAAATTTTGCACTATTTCAGTCAAAGTCGAGGTGAACATTTGCCAATTTGGCAACCTTTATACAGTGCGAAACCCTGGCGCTATGACGGCTTTGCCTATCAGAAATATGTACCCGTTCAGTGGAGAAATAAGCGATAAAAACGGCCAAACCCGACATGAACTATTTGCCTGACATCTGCGTGCTTATTCCCAAGGTAAACAGTGATACTCCCTTCACAATAGCCAGTCGTCACGTAAATACACAACGTTTATTCTTTAACAGTGTACAGCCCTGACCCCGGGTCAACAAAAAGTTAAAAGGAAAAGTAAATAAATAAAATAGTAAACAACCGTGTCGGGCATTTTCGGGTCGTCTACCTCGTGAAAAGGTGAAGCGCTGACAGCTATTGATCTGTCGGACGATTTCCCCGTGTATTACTTCAGGCCCGACACGAAACTAGACCCAAGTCCTAGAGAATGACCTGCGACTGCCTCTCGCCACAATTTTTAGTGCGCGAACTTCTCGAACTCGTTCTGCGTGCTAAAGGATTAATCTCAATCCGCACCACATCGCGAGCAAGACCACAGCGTATAATATACACAACTTAATCAGGGTGATTGGGTACCTTATAGAAAGAGGAGGAAATATCACTAAGGGGCTTAAGATGGTTGATACGTGTGACCTCATCCGCAGTGAATTTCCGCTGCCGAAGTGACCCCCACGTATGACCCAGTTTTACCCCAATTCGTGGGTTCACGTTATTGAATCCCCCTGTGTGCCCGTGTATTAGGAGTATCTACGCCTTGGCGAAAATTGGAAATTACATAATTTATTGCGACGTATCAACTGCCGAGAGTGCAGCCCTCTGAATAAGCTACTTGTCGAGAGCAACCGACTTGAATAATCGCTATTTAGAATCACAATTTACTTCTACAAGGCCAGCTGTCTGTCTGTCTGAGTCTTGCGTCTGAAAACGCGTTGCGCCGGGCAGAAGCTAAAGCGAAGGAGTTAGGTATTCGAAAAAAAAACCCAGACAGTTGAACTACTTTACCCCGTGTAGCAGACTGTTTGCTTAGACCGAAAGAACGCTACCCTTCGCTGTATACCAGCCGCACCCCCGGGCTTTAGAAAGCGTTTAACTGCAAATGAGTTATTTGACTTACGGCTAATGCACAGGTACGCGGAGTTGAATCAACGTTAAATCACTGTAATTTTCGAGTGGGGCTCAATACGGTTAACAATCACAATCGATGCCACCCTCCGCCCCGGCAGGTGAGGGGAACAATGGCCAGTGCATAAATATTGGCCGAGTTTAACTGGATGACATCTCATGAGACGAAAACAGTCCGACAAACAACGCTGACTCAAGCTGCCAGTCAGTTAAAACTTAACCACGCGGAAATGATCCCCTATTACTAGTTGCTGTCTTACAACTATATCGCGAATGTGTACTGAAAGGATTGTGTGACACAAAATCAACAACGTCGGCTTCTTTTCAATTTTAGATTCTTTTTTACTACAATAATATAGGCTTCTCGTGTACAAATATCCATTTAGGAATTACTATAAATCACAAAGGCCTTCTGTGCCCTCAAAATATTGCAATGTCTTTCGATGGAAATAATAACTTACGATTTTTATACACACATTACTAAACGGTATGTGTAAAGTATTATAATCGGGGAGGCGTTCCCCTTAGAACTACAACACAAATACATAAGAGTATGTTCACATACATAAGTAATTACAAACTACCCACGCATAGTATGCGGTTTTAAAAACATCCAAAACTTATATAAAAGCTTAATATTAAATCGACATGACGAAAATTATGGTGTTTGGAAAGAATGCAAAACTAAACTTAATATTTATATATAGAAACCGCCTTTTATAAAATTGTAGGAAACGTACAAAATTTTTGGCTGAGAAAACTAAATAGACTCTGGTCCGTTATAATCCTCTGTATATATACAGGAATAACTACATACAAAAGCCGCCTGGCCGGCCCGGCTCTTTTCAATCGACCCTTTTCTTTCTCAATGTCTGTACAAAATTAACTCAAGCTGAGTTTGTTCGAGTCTATATATATATACATCGATGTGAATAGTTTCCTTGTGTTCATAGCCCTGCTAAGTTGAACTTCCAAGTCATTGCAAATATGGAATAGAAAAAGTTACATATGGCTTTAATATCGCAGTCAGGTCTGTCCTCTCCTTATCATAATCACAAAAATATAATATTGCAATCCACGTTGAATGGTCCTTAATTCATAGAGTATGAAAAGTTCAAAGTCTGTGGTGCATAGAATAAATAATCGTCAGTGTTCAATGATGAAGAATATGAAAGAAATAATGCGATGACGTGGGTGACAAAATGAATGATGAAGAATGATCTGTACAGAATATTTACATGTCTGGTCGCCATAGAAACTTGATGCGCTATCAACGAGTGACCTAGGTCACTTATGAAAAGTCCCTGCAGCGTCTAACCTAATAGTCACTGAGCACGTTGCGCCTTCATCAGCGGTTTCCATGGTGAACCGAGTCACTTAGTGGGGACTAAGGAGCCGAGACTGGTTTCCAGCCAGTCCCCGTCTATCATCTCGGCTACCTCTGGCGTTGAGTAGTCGGGAAATTCAAAATGAGACGAAACCAACGGCAAAGTGTCCAGATTAAAGTCAGTATCTGCAAGTTTCCCCAAATCCAGCAGGGTCCCTTGCTCATACTGCCAGTTGTTTGGTACCTGAAGAATGTCCGTGAGATTATCCAAGTCTGTGAGGGTCGTATTCTGGCCTGTTGTTGCATTGTCAATTTGCATGGCGACGTCTGAGGTCTGTAGTTGTTGATATTGCTGCTGTTGCGAGCTGATCGCGACTGGGAGCTGCTGAGCTTTCATTTCTTGAGGCGAGAGGTTGTTGTTATTGTGACTGGGAACATCGTAACTATCGTACATGTCTTCGTAGAAACTGGTCGACTCCGGGGTGGCTGGCAGCTCGGAGCTGGGGCTGGAGGGGACTTTGGCCGGAGGTGTGAGCTGACACGCCGAGACGGGCACGTACTTACTCTCTCTAATGTTGTCTTTGAACTTCTTATCAATAGTCAGTTTCAATTTGAGTCGATTGTTATTCAGCTCGCTGCTGTCGCTGCTGTTAGATGAAGTGAAACTAGAGCGGACAGCGCCAGGATGCTTACTTTTAAGTCTATCACTTTTCTTACCGGAGGAGGTGCTTTTCACGACCTTCCCACTCGTCTCAGACTTGGGGTTGGGCTTCACCTTCTTCCTTGGTCTGTACTTGTAGTCAGGATATTCCTGCATGTGTAGTAATCTCAGACGCTCAGCTTCCTCGATGAATGGCTGGCGTTCAACGTCGTTTAACATCTTCCATCGCTTGCCCAGGCGCTTGCTGATCTCGGCGTTGTGCATATCTGGGGCCACCTCACTAATTTTCCTTCTCTCGATCTGCGACCATACCATAAAGGCGTTCATCGGACGCTTGATGTGGTTGGAAGACTTCTTACACTGAGTAGCGTCCGAGTAAGGGGTCACGGAGTCGGGCTTCACGATCTGTGAGCCGAACTGGTCGGGTGTACCGTTGCTGTTTTGCGGAACCATGATTTCACATCGATGGGCTTCAGAATAGCTCCAGCCTTAACATAGAAAACTAAAAGATGTCCAACTTGTGGTAAAAACGGTAAATTTAGCAAGTCTTTTCGTAGTGATTTTCACGTAGCACTGCTTTGGAAGACTACAGCTTGAACTGACTAACACGATCACTCGCACCCTATTTAGCCACGCGAGATCTAATCACAGAATGCACATGGCGTAGGCAATTGACCAATAGGAGTGAATCAGTTACGGAAACCCCGCCTACGGACGCATTAATTGGCTGAGCGAATGTAAACAGTTCACATGAATATGAGGGCATGGCTTTACACTAAAAATAGTGAGTAAGCAAGTGAATGATTGAGACCGCTGATGAGTGGTAGATGTAATATAGGTAAACCTCTATTTTTCATTGCGCCGTTTTCCAGTGAAATATACGTAAAACATTAGTAGCTTTATCGACCGTGGTGGGTAGTAATTTCGACGAAAACATAAATGTGCCGTTTGCCCTGAACACTGAACGCCATCACCTCGAGAGCCCACTTTGACTTACGCAAAAACATTGATGTCACGACCGGTCAGAGTAAACAAGAAGACTGTGTAATTAAGGTGTCGGCTAATCAACACTCAGGTAAAAAGTGAAAACACGATTGTTTTCTCACTGTCGCCGTAAATTCCTTTGTCAAAATAAAATCAACATATTAATTTTTGTCATTCAAATGGCATTTTTTATGTATACCTAGAGCGAAGTTGATCTAACCGCCCGATGCTCTCCGTAAGCATCCCTACCTGTCTCCCTCTTGTTCATGGGAAGATTACAGTAACATTGCGGTGTGGGAAAATCAAAGGGGGGCTCTCAGTACTAGGCTCCGACAAAGCGATGGGTTCCCATGACCTTTTTGGGTGGGTAAAGCAAGCCCGTCCCCCCAGGCGTATCATTCGCTACGTTCTACTGAACATTAAAAGTTGTTAAAATACAATAGTAAAACAGTGGCAACCACATACCTGAATTTATTAATTTCAGGCAAAATAATGTACAAGCTTCCCTTAGTAAAAACGCTGACAGTTTAATACTGTGTCCGTACATGCCAAGTCAGTGAAGTGTGATTCCCGCTTCTAATTAAAGAATTTGCCATCTACACAATTTTCCCTTCCAAATCGAAGCCAGAGGAAATGGTAAGCCGCTTAAATTGGGCTTCCTCGAGCCTTCGCAACAGGGGCCCTTACACTTGTGCGTGACATGTTCGCTGCGTCGCACTTAACACCCAAAAATGCAGTAGGTGCGATGGGCAATACTTCATTTTCAAAAAAAGTATCGAATTTAATATGTTGAACACGTGTTCCCTAAACTTTTCCTTGTGAGTCGAAGTTATTTGGAATCTCAAGCCTCGGCTCAGCTGCCTTACCAAGAAAGGTCTCAGTGTCGAACGCTGTAATTCAACTAACAACTTGGCAGCAGAGCACGCAACAAATTAAGGTGTCACCCACTGCGTCAAGGTGTTCGCCCCCTTGTCCCCTGCCAAGCCGTCCAGACTGACAATAGACCGGTCATTTGCGTGTGATTTATCTATTAATTGATTCAAAATTGGTCACATTTGTGCCTAATAACGATTAGGTAGGATGAGTAAACAGAGGGATTAAGTAATTTCGCTTTTCACACAGATTTCCCAATCAACTTAGGTTTGTCTCAGTAATTAAAAATGTTCGTTACTGGATATGTAGAGGGCACAAGTAGGTGAATCAACTGGCCTCAGCTGCTTCTAATTAATCATGACAAACTGGGAGCTTATGGCAACGACATGACGAAGAGATCGACTGAAAGTTGATCGCCAGCTTGCAACAGCGTTGCATGCGCTACCAGCAGCATCGTATCAAGTGTTGAAAATGATTTAAAATAAAGCGTGTACGTATTTGGAGTTTTCAGTTGAAGTGCTGTGAAACTTGATCTCAAGATAGGGGTGACACGTCCGCTCAGCCCTGGAGCGGGTTGCTAAAGCATAATTTTGTCTGCAATCTTGAAGCAGGCGTCTCTCTCGTATTCATCATTACAGACAATTTATTTTTTCTGTGCACATAGAGATAACGCTTCGCCTCGTGGAACGCACTACCCCGTTTTTCCCACGCTACTCTCGGTCTTAGACGCTTCCCGCGATGGAAGAAACACGACGAACACACTGCAAAAATCACCGATCGATAAACTCATATTCTTCTGGAGAAAAACGTACGGCACACGACCCTGATTTGCATAATAAGAAGCGCTGTGGAGAAGTGTCGCCGACGCACGTGCCGTGAAGATGTGATTGGCAGGTTAATAGTGTACCGCAAAATTAATACCCATGAGACCTTGCTTCTTTCTCGATAATGTGGCATTAAAGAATCGCTATAAATCCAGCGAAATCTGCCAATTAAGCTGATTCACTTATGAGAAATGTTATTTTCTTTCGTTGTTTCCCTCCAAACAGATGCGCGTTCTCATTTCTAAATAATATTGGAACCCCTTAAAACCACCAAAGTCTTTAATACTACATAAAACACACAGACCAATGCACAGGGCCTTCTTAGAGAGAGAGAGAGAGAGAGGCAAAAAAAAAACAGACTGAGGTTTTGGTTGCCGGGCAATGGCACGTGGAAAAAGAGCAGAAGACACGACAGATGTGCGGACGACACATGCGAATGCGCGCTTGGCAAAGATGGAATGTTACCAGAAATGGAGTGGATCTCTCTGGGGGCGGATTGAATCATTTTGTCAACTTAAACACATGGTCCCACTTCTCTTTAAACAAATGTTTGCCGTTTGAAATCTTGTCAGCGAGCAACGTTGAGCAAGTTTAGTTTACTTGCCCTTCAGTCGTAGCATTGTCCGCTACAGATAGCCAAAGCTGCCATTTGGCAGATATCTTTCGATTAAGAAGACAATTTATCAATCGTAACATACCGCTATTTGTATGCCCTTGGGGATATAACAAAGATAATTTATCACAATATATATCATAAATTTGCGGAGTATAAAGGTGAAGAACTGCACTGTATGTTCTAACGAAAAGTACAATGGAACGATAAATGTAAGCAAACCAACTATCGGTAGCGGCGATGTACACGGCAAAAGAAGGTGCCACGCTCGAGTCGTAAATCTATTAACAAATATTGTAGACCGTCCAGGAACCTCTTGAAAAACAGAACAAACATCTTAAAGATTGGATGTAACAGCTAATGACCAGAACCAGCGTGCGGGTGACGTAAGCGGCAGGTGTTGGGACCGGGTGTCAATCAATGCGACACGCGACTCGCGGCAGCTGGAGCAACTTCCAGCCAATCAGAGCGCAGGAGAAGCAAAGTCTTGGCATAATATTTGCATTTGCTCCTTTGATGTCACTGGATATTCAGGAAATTAACCACTCGTTCTTGATAGATTTTTTGCCGAAGATTGCTCCGCAAACATGATCAAGACCCGTAGATAAACAGGCACGATACACATGAAATGTTGTTCCACTTCCCAATGAGTTGACATAGCATTATGTGTGCACGCGCCCGCCATAGCACTTCACATTCCTGGCTTTAATGAAGTGTCAACCCATGCACCACCTCTTTTTTCAACATTTCTAAAATGTGAAGTATTAAAACTATGCGAGTAAACATAGAACAGCCGGCGTGTGCGGGGCCACAAGTGTCCTTCTTTTCATATTTCGTTGACATTAGCCGCCAATTATGTTCAAAGGACTGAAACGCAGACGACTCAAAGTTTTTATTTTCAAAAGTGATACGAGCTGGCACGAGCACATTGTGAGCATCTGAATATGATTAGTCGCCCGTATATTTTTGAAGAAACCGAAATTACTTTTCCGTACAATTAAACTTTTGAAAACAGCTCTTCAATTGCAAAATTTTACTGCTTCGACGCCTTGGGCTCCTCTAATAATTCATCAAGAGCCGTTTCTTGTGAAAAGGGCGATGCTTAGGGGTTTTAAGAAAATTGAGGGACCAGCGTAATTATGCCCGACGATTGCGGTGTGGTGGTCCCGCTTTATCCCCCGTCTGCGTTGCTGGGTAGAACAGATGGCAGACACTTGAATTCGAAGCGGTGAATATGGCTAATATCAGAGGACATTTTAGCATATGTATGAACTTAGCGCGTGCCAGGCTATTGAAAACACATCCTTATGTCAGATCGAGTGTGCCAGGCATTCATTCACAGGATACCCTCCCAATTTTGTGTAAAATGAACACCAAGTCTACCATAGGGGCGCGAGTTGAGTTTGATTGGTCATTTTTCACCAAGATGCAGACAGAGACAGGACAAAGATGGAATGGCAAAGATGGAATGTTACCAGGAACCAAAAAGCTTGCTGAAAGTTTTTTAATCGCTCTTTTCCAGAATACACAAAATATGTTTTCGTTTACCATTGACAAAATAATGTGTATTTCGCATAATCAAAACCATAAAAACAAAACTATTTCATTTTTTGTCGTCTGAAACTCTTAGTCCACTTTTACATTGTACAGAATAGATGCGGTGTAAAAGTTGGTGAACCTGAACCATTATAAACTCGTATCATACCATAGACCGATTTCTTTTAGAAAGATCGGGACTACATATCACCTAAAATTTCTTTAACGGTCGCTAACCCCAGCATGACCGAGCAGTTGGTCGTGCAAGCGGCCCACCTGCCTAGTTCATTTGAATAATGCAGTCAAGAACCGATACAGTAAAAAGAAGAGCAGACGAGATTATTTTTCATAGATGAGCCTTAGCCCGCCCACCGCCCCTCAACCGTGCCTCGGAACACCTACAGGATGAGCTAGCTGGTCACTATTGCAGATTTTCAAAACGAGTTAAAATTTCGAATACTTAAAGCAGTAAATAGTACCATTTGCTTTTAATCCACCTTACTCTTTGCCAATTCATCTTATATTTAAGTACAGTGACGTCTACTGCAGAACACAGATGGTAAAAAAATGTCGCCGACACTGGCCTGCAATATTCTGCTCAAGTCTTTAACATAATGGACAATTTCTAAATAAGTAGGCCTACGTATCTCGCTTCCTCGTCTAATTTGATCCTCTTGCATATCAGAGAGGAGACACGTCTAGGATTTTTCATTGATCTAATTCTGAACCTATCAACACAATAATTCACTTTTCAAATCGGACACAATTTTGACTTAGCTTTTGAGTTGCTGCTGACTTGCCTGGGATTCGTGTCAAAGGTGA